AAGGCCAGGAGGGAGGGCTGAGCTCAGGCCCCTAGGACAGGACCGCCAGACTCAGCACACCACAGGACGCCCCAGCGGCCGGCCGCGCCCACACTGAAATACGGTTTGTGGTCGGTCCTGCATGGCCTTGGGCAGGGACGACCATGGCGAGGGGCCCGGCAAGGGATGGGTCGGCCGGACGCTCCCACACCCACCCCGTCCGCACCCCCTCCCCCCAGCAGACTCCGGCCCAGGACACACACACAAGCCTAGAGCTGCCCTCAGCGCCCTTGCCTCCAGCCTAGGTGCAGGAAACGGAGCTCGGGGTCCCGTGAGCGGCCACACGACAGGCCACACAGGCCTGGGGACTCAGACAGTCACTGGGGACTCACACAGGCCTGGGGACTCAGACAGAGCACTGCCACCTCACCCCACTCCCTTCCATCCTCAGACAAGCTGGTCCCTGGTCCTCTCGGGGGGCTTCTGCCCCTGGCAGCCAGGCCCCATGACACGTGAGCATCTTTCAAAGTCGCCGTGGCTACAGGCTCCTTCCGAGCAGCGTCACCAAGGCCACGATGGGTGGCTGTCCCCAGCAGGTGCTGAGATGTTGCCGGGAATGCTGGGGGAAGAGGGCCTCTCAGAGGACCGGCTCCCGGCTGTACTGCTCAGACCCCTCGGCCTGACACGAGGCTGTCCCTCATGACTGTCCCCAGATGGACTGAACCTGGGGGCATCCACCTCCTGGCAGGAGGAGGGAGGGGGGCAGGCTCGGGTGTTTGCAGGCCGGCAGTAGATTCTGGCCACCGCAGCCCCACGTCAGGGGCCCCCCGAGCTGAGGGGAGGGACAGGGGCCTGGCTTTCCCCTGCGCTGTCCTGGACATTAGTCCATTCCATTCTTTCTCCAGAAGCCCCATGAGATGGACGTGGTGCTTGGAAAGTCAGAGCCCCATGCGGGGCTTGCCCAGGCCTCCCTGCTAGGAAGTGGCCACACGGGAGGCTTGTCTCTCGTGGGACGTGATGCTGGGACCCGGGGCCAGGCCGACGGACCCAGCAGTGCCGAGCACCTGCCAGTCCCAAACGCGCGCCGATGCCGACAGGCCCCTTCTGCTCGAGGCATCTGGAACGGAACTCCCAGGTTCCCCCAAACCCCAACCGTCCAGTCGCTCAGGACGGCAGCTCGGCATCATCCTCCGGCCTCCTGCTCCCATACCCCTCCGCCAACCCCCCAGCAGGTCTCTGACTCCTCAAAACAGAACCCCACCTCTCACCACCTGCTCCGAGGCTCCCCCGTGCCGGCCAGCCCCTCCTCGTGCCTGGATTCTCACAGACCCTCTCCGCCCGCCGGCTACAGCATCCCTGTTAAGATGGGAGTCTGCGTCCTGCTTCCAGTAACGTGGGGCGGCGGCAACGGGACCAGCCCCACCACACACAGAGGTAATAACTAGTCTGGGTAAGACACCAATAGCCATCTAAAGGCACAGGACAGTGACCACATTGCAAGGAGAGATAGTACGGGATGAGGTGCCATGTAGCTCTTTTCCTTCTCTAATTTTCTTTGTTTTTTTCCTAACAGCTTTCTGTGTGAGCACAGGCCCCACTCAGCTGAGACGGGGTGGCCAACATGCGGACACAAACTCCCGATCTTCCTGGCTTGAAGAACCCGGGAACAACGTTGGAGGCAGCCCGAGCCACGAGCACGGACAGGGGCGTCACGGGAAGGAGGGTGAGCTCTGAACCCGCACTCGCGCCCCGGGCACCTCTCTGCGTGGCCAGGACAGACCGTGCAGCCAGCAGGCCTGGGAGGAAGGAAGGGACGCTTCTGTCACAGCAAACACACTGTGCTCAAAGTCTGAATCCAGCCAAGGACACTGACGGCTGAAAACTCTCGAGAGGAACAAGATAGGATCCAGAATCTAAATCACACCGTTCATGGCGTCCTGGATACAATCCCAAAGCAGCAAATACACGAAGGGCAAGCCCATGCTCAGAAAGCAGGTGCCAGAGTAACGAGACCAGACATTTAAGCAACTGTGGCAAAGATGTGTGTCCAAGGACATAAAGGAAAAATACGCTCCTAAGGAACGAAAACAAGGCACAGCTCAGAGAGATGTAACAGCTCTGAGAGGAAACAAACAGAAACCCTAGAACTCACTGTACACACATCAGATTAGAAACTCCCTGGACGGTTGCGCGGAGACATGAGAAGTCGGTGAACTGGAAGACAGAGCTGTGGGAACTATCCAATCTAAAAACCAGAGGAGAAAGATGGGGGCAGGGGGGGATGAGCAGCACATCAGCAATCTGTGCGACGATGTTGAAGGCCTGATAGTTCACTGGAGTTCCAAGGCAGAGAAGGGAAGGACGTGGGGGACACATTTAAAGAAATAATGGATGGAAAAACAAATCCCCAATTTGGCAAAAGATGTGAATTGGTCGATTCTAGGACCCCAGAACCCTCCGGCAGAAGCAGCACAGAGAAAAGCGCCCCTAGGAACACCCGCTGACAAACACCTGTCTCGCGTGACCCGTTAGGAACCCAGAACACTCAGGGAGCAGTGACGTCTCATCAGAAACAATGCGGGACACAGAACGTGGACGAGCACCAACAAAGGCTGGGAGGAAAAACAAACAAAAACCAGGACTCTAATCTGGTCCTTCGAGCATGAAGGCCAAGTGAGAGCTCGCTGGGCCGCGTCTGCACTCTGCTCCCACCTCATTGCAGGGGCCGGGGGGGGCCCTCGGACCTCGCGCCTGCCGCCCTGTCCCGGCCCCCAGGGCTCACTGCGCCCGCCCTGCCCTCCCCCGCTTTGCTCCCCCTTCTGCTCACAGGTCACGTTCTCAGGTGGACTTGCCCTTTCAACACAGACCCAGAAGGGCTCCCCAACTGTGTGTCTTCCTCGTATCGTCTCCTCCATAGAACGCAGCATTTGTAATGCCCCCCATCGCATCCCGATGTGTCAGGCCCCAAGGAGCAGGTGCAGGCCTCCGGTCGGCGGGGTTTCCTGCGGGCACACACAGGCACTCCGCAAATCTGGCCCAAACAAAGGAATGAGCACCTATAGTTTCCGGAATTCATGAAGATTAAGAAAGCCAATAATTCCTTCTGATGTCTGCCTGCAAGGTTTTCACCATGGATGTGAACCAAGGGTGGAAGATCTTGCCACTGAGGCGGCGCATGAGCTCAGGCTGGGCTCCCCTTCTGTGCATGGCGTGGCACCCATGGGGGGACCGAGAGAGCACCTTCTGGAGCCCTCAGCTCCGCAGGTAGCCCCATGGACGTGCGCAGAGCTGGGCCGGCCGTAACAAGCTCCCGCATATTGGGCGGCTTAGAAGCCTGTTCTCTCGCGGTTGTGGAGGCCAGAAGTCCCCCATCAAGACCAGTGGTGATGGTTCCTTCAGGCGGCTCTTTTGGAGGACCGACCCCAGGCGTCTCCCAGCCTCTGCAGACGCCGGCGGTCCTGGGCTGGTCGACGCCTCCCTCCCCGTCTGCCTCCCGCCACGCGCCTGTGTCCCGGGTCCCTCTTCCTGCACAGACACTTGGCACATTGCATTTATGGCCCACCCTACCCCAGCATGACCTCATCTTCATTACATCTGCAAAGGTCACATTCCCAAATAAGGTCACATTCTGAGCTCCCAGGGGTTAGGACTTCCACGTATCTTTTGGGGGGATGTTGTTTGACCCCCAGCCAACCCCCCAGACGGTTTGCACTCCTGACTCTATCACCTCCCAGCTGCCATCACTAGGGATGAACACGCAGCTCATGGCAATGTTGGGAGATCAGCGAGTGACAGCCGAGGGGACAAGCCAAGCTTGGGAGTCAGTGGTCACCATGGGATCCTGACCCTGGGAGAGGCAGGCCACAAGAAAACTGCTTCATCGTGGGACCTTCTCAGCCCAGCTCTGGGGGCAGGGGTGGGGTGTCCTGAGTGCTGGAGCAGAACCCAGGCCCTGTGACTCTCTGCAACCCAGTCAGGAAGGCTGGGCAGGGGGCTCCTTAGGGAAAAACGCTGCACAGTCCCTCCCAGTCCTCAGGTCTGGGCAGAGGGAACGGGACGGCGGCTACGGGGCCGTGGCCTCTGGGAGCAGGGGGCAGTGCTGGTCAGGTGCTGAGTCTGCTGCGGAGCGGGGGCGGGGGGGGGGCAGGAACAAAGTGCTACACACGGGAGTTAAAACAAAAGAGATTTCCTCTCTCCCAGTCAGGAGGCCAGAAGCCTGGGACTGAGGTGTCGGCCTGGCTATTCCCACTGAAGGATCTGTCCCGGGCCTCTCCCCGCTCCTGGGGAGAGCAAATCCCCAGTCTTCGCTGGGCGTCTCCTTGTGCGAATCTCGTGCCCCGTTACCCCCGGTTCACGAGGACACCAGTCATCCTGGGTCAGGGCCCCATTCCAAGCATGACATCATCTGAACTCATAACATCTGTAATGATTCTGGTTTCAAATAAGGTCACATTCTGCGGTCCTGGGGGTTAGGACCTCCACATACGTGTCTGGGGGGATCACAATTCAGCCCCCAACAGACTTCAGTCACTGTCCTTGGCCTGCAGGAGGCTGTGGGTTCCCGGGGGCCTGCAGGACCCATCGGAATGGGGGCACCCTTGGTTCCTGCACCCTACTGCTCAACCCCGGGGTCTCCCTGCTCACAGCTCCTGTTCGCCAGCCGTGCCCTGGCAACGTGGCGGCGCAGACGGTACGCCAAGGTGACTCCAGCACCCTTCAGCCCGGGAAGTTGGCCCAGCCCAGGGCTGGCTGTTGATTTTGGAAATTGGCTGTTTGGGAACATGACATTTTTGGGGTCCAAAGCAACGGAGAAGAGAATACGCAAAAGCTGGCTAACGTTAAGATCAAAATTAAGACATGAGCATTAAGAGTCTCCACTTGCCCCGCAGGGACGGGGCAGGAGCTCTTGCTACGTGACCTCGCCCCCAACCACACGGCTATATAGACAGGCTGTGGGGCCCGGTCACCAAAGCCTGCAAGTCCCCAGCCGTCTCCAAACCCAGATAGACGGTGCCGTGGGCATGCAGCTCCTACTGCTGACCGTAGGCCTGGCACTGGTCTATGGCCTCCAGGCTCAGGAGGAAAGCCAGGAGGAGCCCCAGGAGAGGCTGCAGGAGGTGAGCACAGGAGTCCCAGGAGGCCAGGGGCTGGGGGGTCAAACCCTGAGCGAGCGTCGTGGATGGTGGGTGGCCTGCCCCTGGCTAAGGCGGAGGCCCTCTGGGGGTCGTCCAGGGAGCAGGACTGCAGGTTGGAATCGTGGTCCCAGACAGCCAGATGCCCCCCATCTGAGTCTGTGCAAAAGGAAGCAGACTGAGAGTCCTGTGCTCCAGGGTCAGCCTGTCCCACGCCGCTGGGTGCCACTGCCCTTGGCAGACCACAGACAGACCCAGCCCGAGCGTCAGGAGCCTAGACCGGAGAGTCAGAGCCCAGGGCCGGAGCCTAGACACCACTCTTGGTGACTTGTAAATGAGCCGCAGGGCAAGTCCACAGTGGGGAGGCCCGTGGAGGAGTCCAAAGGCAACGTTGGGGGCTGGAGCACCTGCCATGGTCTTGGAAGGCGCTCTGAGCTCAGTCCAGAAGGGAGCGAAGCATCCCCTGGGGCTGAGGGGGCAAGCGCTGGGCACGGGGTCCATAAGGCCAGAAGCCTGGACACACCAGCTGCTCCCCTGGCCCGAGAAGGAGCTGGTGCTGCACACGGGGACTGTCCTTAAATCCACCGGCCGCACCAGCATCACAGGGCCTTCCTGGGCGCCATGGGAGCAGGCGCCTGGCACGGAGGTGGGGGGCCTGAGGAGGGCAGGGTCCAGGCCTCACCCTGTCCTCCTGCGGCCCCACGGCTGTCTAGGATCTGGCACACCGCCGCCCTGGCCTCCAATAACTCGGCTCTGATCAGGCCCGGCGGGCACATCAGGGTTTTCATCGACACCATGAGCGCGAAGGACGGCAACCTGCACGGGGAGACCCTCATACCGAGAGCGCAGGGCACCAGGGGCTTTGGGTGCGGTGCAGGAGCTGGGCGGACTGGGCCGGCCCCGGGGAGGGGACGGGGACGCTGTTCCACAGGGGAAGCATTAGAGGTCTGATTCCAGACCCCTCACACTGTGTGGCCCGGACCACCATGCTGCCCCCTCTAGGCATGGGGTCCCAAGCACTGGGACCGGGGCTTGTGCAGGTCAGGATGGGTGTGTGTGTGTGCACGCTGTGGGGGGTTGGGGGTGCTGCGGTCCCTGGTGCATTCCCTCAGCTGCTGCTGACAACACAGCATCCAGGCATCCAAGGCGGCCAGAGCCTGGAGGCGCAGCCCAGGAGCAAAGAGGACCAAGGTCACCTTCAAGGGGATCAAATGGATGCATTTGCCAAACTCCTAGAAGCCCACACGGAAAGCAGTGACTGTCACCGTGGGCGAATTATACTTTCATTTAAAACGTGGAAAGGGGCAGGCGGACAGAGTAAACCCACCCACTTCTGTCTGCAGGCAGGAAGGCTGGTGCGAGAAAGTCTCCCTCACGGCGTTCAAGACTGACACCAACAAATTCAGCCTGGAGAGTGTGTGCAGGCACCGGGCCTGCTGAGGGCATGGCCCCACTCAGCGGTTGGCTCTTGGGCTTCGAGCCCCGTGGCAAGGACCCGGCAGCTCCATGCCTAAGGGGTGTGCAGGCATCGGGACTCGGGCCCCCAGCCCGGCTCGCAGGGGACAGAGCCCACTCCCGCATCCAGGTGCCCACGATGCTGGGCAGGGTGCAGTGCCTTGGCCCTGTGCACAGAAAGTGGACAGGTGTCCCCCCCGCCCAGGTGGGCCTGCATTCACCCCACCGGGCGGCCACCCATCTCCCAGCCTGCATCTCCCCGGTGTCCTCCACAGTTTGGGGACACAATGATTTCTACCTGGAGGAGGTACAGCCCAAGAGCTACCTGATTCTCTACGTGATCAACCAGTACAATATGTGACCAGCCTGGTGGCCAACCTGATGGGTACGTGGGGTCCCCTTCAGGAAACGAGGCCCCAGAGCCACCCTCACAGGCAGGACTCAGGTCTAGCCAGCATGTGGGGAGAGGGGCCTGCTGTACCCCCCAGCAGCAGAGGGCTGAACGGGTCTGGGGAGGTCAGGGACCAGACCCCGGCTGAAGGCTCCGGCCACAGCCTCGTCCTGCTCAGCCTCACCCACTGCTGCCCCAGGCCCCGCTCACATCTGCACACACTCGCTCACATGGCCCTCTCACCAGGACCATCCCGGGACCAGGGCTCAACCTCCACGCTGCTTTGGGCAAGGGGAAGAAGGGACAGTCACCACCTCCTAGGTCATCCCAAGGGAAAGAGGGGTCTCTCTCTGCTCCCCATGCCAGCCCCAATTTCCCACCAAGACACAGACTCCCCTCTCGGTCCCAGAGAGCATGGCACCCTGACACCCCCACAGCATCCGGTGCCCCCAGGACCCTGCCCCCCACCCCCACGGCACCAGGCAGGCCCCACCTCCCATGTCCCCTGCAGTCCGGGACCCCAGCACACAGGAGGACTTCCTGCAGACATTCGAGTCCGTCTGTGAAGACCTCGGCCTGCACAAGGATCAGATTGTGGTTCTGGACACTGACGGTGAGGCCCCCTGCTCTCCCACACCCTCGGGTCCCCTCGGGTCAGCGGCCACCCAGCGGGCAGGGGCTCACTCCAGATCACTGTGCCCCCTCAGATCACTGCCAGAGTTTCAGACACTAGGGCCGTCAGCTCCACGCAGGTGAGAGGTGCCACCCTGGAGCTGGGCCCATGGGCTTGTCCACGGCCTGAGCTACACAGGGGGGCCTGGGAGGCGGACGGAGCCCCCACCCCGGCCCCTGAGCTGCCTTTCAGAGCCCAGGCCTGCCCCCTACCTCCTGTGCTGTCCCTTCCCCAATCCCCGCCCCTGTGCACAGGGCCAAGAGGGGTCTCGCCTGCATGGGGACTCAGACCTGTGGGTTCGGGGCCCTCTGCTCAGCTCTCCCTCTCCCCTCCACAAACCCTCCAGGGATTCCACCAAGAACACCCTCCCTCACTTCTGTGTGCAGCCCTGTCCAGCCCCGTGCCTGCTCCCTTCCCAGCCAGGCTCCACGGCCATGCACCCCACCCAGCCCCATGCTGTGGTCCCCCCTTGCACAATAAAGGACGTTCCTTTTAAAAGATGACTGTTGGGCTGGTCAAACTTGTCCAGGGATCGTTTCTTCTGGGGCTGCAGAAACAAGCAAAGGAAAAGGCGAACCATCTTCCCTAATCAGAGCGCGTGAGCAGAAGGAGCCAGAGCCCTCCCCAAAGCTAATGCCCACAGAACTCACGCACAAACTGTTGCCAAGTGACAAGGAACGTGTTCATTACAGTCTCACCCTTTCAAGTGTGTGAACGTGCATCCATTAGGACGCTTGGCTTGAAATAACAGAAAATCTTACACACATACACTTTAGCAGTACACAGACTGTGTTGGCTCTTACACATGAAAGGTGCTGAGGCAGGACTGCCTGCAGGCATGGCTGTATCCAGGGGCAGAAGAGCCATATTTCTGTCTCTTGCCTCTTCTTTCTTTCCTTGTTGGCTCCATTCTCCGGCTGCCCACACAGCTGCCAGCAGCCACAGACCACCTCCCTCTTCCTCGAGATACAGCGTAACGAGCTCATACTTCTCTCCAAAGTCCCTGCAGAGGCCTCCGCCCTGCAGCCCACGGGCCTGCCCAGGTCCTGGCCCCTCCTGTGTTCATCTCCAAATGGAGAGAGGTGATGCTCTTATGCTTCTCAGTGGCCAGGCCTGAGTCACGTGTCTTCCCTAGAGTCAGGGGTGGGGGTGGCTTCACCCAAAGCCCACGATCTAAGAAAAGAGAGGGTGGTCCTCACGAAGACATGCTTGGTGGGTGGGGGATGGAGGCACGAGTCCCGACTGGGTCCACACCACACGGGCTGCAACCTCTGTCTCATGCCTCCTCCTAGTGATGTGCCTACACCACCATCCCCCAAACACCCTGACCCCCAGGGCCCAACCAGGGCCCCGGTCACAGTGCCTGCTCCAGGTCTGACGGGTGGAAGATGGGGGCTCCTCTCATCAAGGGAGAGGAAAAATCTGGAGGGCCCCTCCATGAGCAAGAATGAGGGCAAGCTCCTAAGTCCACGCTCCTGGTGGGAGTGGGGCCAACGGGCCACCTGGGGATACTGCCGGGAGATGCACAAGGAGGGGCTCCAGCTCAGGAGAAAGTGAGGGCTCCCCCCTCTGCTGGGACGCTGGGGCAATCCCCTCAGAGCACATGGCAAAGGCTGCCCGGCTGCGTTCCTGCGTGGGCACCCAGGGGCCAGGCCATCAGGATGAGCAATCCCGGTGGTCCCTCCGCCCCGCAGCTCTGACAAAGTCCTCCCTGTGGACTCTGCTTTGGGGCCACACCACGGGCCAGCTCCCAAAGCAGCGCACAAAGACTACAGAGAAGCAATTCACCAAAGAAAAAATTCAAATAGCCAATAAAAATACACATACGCTTAAGCTCCCTAGCAGAGAAACACTAATTAAAGCAATAAGGCAAGCTATTTGTCTACCACCAGCTCGACAAAAATTAAGGAAAACTCAACAGCAATTTACAGTATTCAGAATGAACGGCAGCTGCCGAGTTGGACACAGGCATGTTCTTTGAGCCAGAAGCCCTGCCCGAAAGGGGAAACGGTCCTACAGAATGGCCTCCACTTAGAGAAGCCAAAGCGATTCCAGGGAGCTCTCGCCGTCGCTTGAGAAGGTTCAGGCAAATGAAGACCAGGGCAAAGGAAAGAGAGGACGGTGCGCAGGGAGACAAGGCTGAGAGCTCTGAGATGGGCCGAGACCCGAAGACAGCCCCGCGCTGCCTGTCCAGGAGACGAGCTGCCCAGAGGGAGCTCAGGAGGGACCGCAGCCCCACGGGGCCGGAGGAGGGTCTCAGCCGGCAGGAAAAACCAGGGCAGCAAGGATGCAGATGCGAGAAAGTTATGACAAGACAAATATGAAACCAAATCAAAGATGAGACATGGCCGCTCACTTTGCATTAACGATCTTTTTTATCATTTGTCACGTATAAGGCACCACGAACTGTGACCAGAGCTTCAGAAACAGGACGCGCTGGTGGGGCCTGGCAGTGGTGAGGCGCTAGGAGGGCCTCGGGCCTCTCCCTGAAAGCAGGCCAAGGCCAAGGTCGGAGGAGGTCAGGTGGACCCGCACGCCGGGTCCAGGAATATCACCAAACAAGTATTGGGGACGTTGGGACCGATGCCCAGGCAGGGTGTCTGCTAACTCTCCTCCCTCGAGGGACTGACAACAAACACATCCATCTGCACAGGGCCAAGGCTACCCACGCGCACCCAAAGGATGCCAGGCCACGTACAGCTTGGACCACAGTGGAGAGGAGGCCAGATGCAGCCCCCAAATCATGCCAGTGATCAAGGGTGGGGGCACTGGGGTGTGAGGCTCACTTGTGTGGACACGGTCAAGGAGAGTGAAGGGCTTTGCTCCCGGGAAGCCGGAGAACGGGAAGGGGTGGGGGTGACCCACAACAATCCCAGAGCCCCTGGGGACAGCTCGGGGGAAATGTACCGAGTGGGGCCAGGAACAGCATCCTGGGCAGGAAAGAGTGAACTAGACGGGGAGTTCCCCTGGGCCCTTGAGAAGACTGTGGAGGGTGAAGGGGTGGTTGGTCTGTGATCTAGGGTGGGGCAAGCACCTGGCTGGCCCCACCACCAATGACAGCCCGCCCTGCTGCCATGTCCCTGGTCCCGAGTCCCTTTCCCACCGCTCACAGCCCCTCCCACACCGGGAGCCAGGTTGGAAGAGCTCCCTGACTCTGTTTCCCTACACATTCCATGGCTGCCAGCCTGCCTTTCATGCCCAGCTGCCCGGAGCGCTCACGGATTCCGGAGCAGGAACACGACATGCTGGGTATGGGGCAGGACGAAGCACTTGGTGTCCCCCGCAGAGCTCTGCCCCACAGGGACGGGGCACCAGCTATCGCTCTTCAAGACGAAGAAGTCAACACACTCCCCACTGGTGCTGAGAAGCTCAGCATGGATGCTGAACCCGCCCCAGGGGTAGCTGGAGCCACTGGGGAACCCCAGGCCTAGGAAGGGCTCTCTGGACCCGCCTCCTGCCATCCGGGCCCCAGGGGTCCATGCAGGGCTCAGGGCGCCCCTGGGACCACGAGCAAGAACAAGGTGGGGGTGGGGACGGGGACCCATAGGCAAGGAGGGGGTGGGGACCGGGAGCCCCACAGAGGCTGGGCCCGAGCAGATGCTCCCACCCTGCATGGAGGATGCTGGGCGCTGGAGGCCACGGGCTCTGCACCCACCGGGCGACCCCTGGCCTCCGCCTCGGGCACCTCTGCCCAGCTCTGGAGGTCAGAAGTCCGAGGTCAGTCTCTGGCCAAGGGGCCAGCAGAGCCACGCTCCCTCCAGAGGCTCCCGGGAGGATCCGTTTCCTTACCTGCTTCTAGAGCGGCATTTCTGCCTTTGTGGCCCTTTCTCCTCCTTCAAGCCAGGAGCAAAGCGTCGTCAACCCCCCGCCCCCCAGACAAATTCTTCCTTTTGTGTCAAATATCCCACTGCTTCTCCATTCTACAGGCCCTTGCAGTTCCGTTTAGAGCCTAGCGAGTCATCCAGGAACACCGGCCCCACCCCCAGGATGCCCAATGTACTCCCATCCACAAAGACAACTGTTCCACGTAAGGTCACGTCCACACGGGGACCTGCCATCCCCGCAGTAATGGCAGGGACAGGGAGACAGAGCAAACACAGATACAGATGTGAGTAGGAATGACCGAGGGCGTATCCACGGAACACCACGCTCAGCACGGCACACAGAGCACATGTCCCTCGGAGGCACGGGGCATCGACGCCCCTGGCCCACACACACCAGGGCTTGCATCACAACGTACGAGCCTCAGCACATTTCAGAGAATCGAAATCATGCAAGACGAATCCTTTTTCTCTTTTGTTGCTAAATTTTTTCCACGGAACGGTCGATCATGCTGCAATTTTTTTTTTTTTTAAGATTTTATTTATTTATTTGACAGAGAGAGAGATAGCAAGAGCAGGAACACAAGCAGGGGGAGTGGGAGAGGGAGAAGCAGGCTTCGCGCTGAGCAGGGAGCCCGATGTGGGACTCGATCCCAGGACCCTGGGATCACGACCTGAGCCGAAGGCAGACGCTTAACAACTGAGCCACCCAGGTGCCCGATCATACTGCAATTTAAGGGGGAAAAAATCAAGTTACGTACATCCAGCAGAGCTCACAGGCAGGATCTCTAAAGAACTCCAACAAATCAACAGCAAAAAGCAAACCACCCAATTAAAAAAAAAAAAAGGCAGCAAAGGGGAACAGGCACTTCACAAAAGAAGACGTGTATGTGCGTGGCCGACAGGTCCACGGAAAGGTGCTCAGCATCGTGAGTCATCAGAGACGCTAAGCAAAGCCAAGGTGCCCTGCCGCTTCCCACCCACAAAACAGCTAAAATTAAGGGCTGACTCATCCAAGGCTGACAACAGTGTGAAGCAAGAGCTCTCCAGTGTGGTCGGTGGGGACGCAACGTGGCCCAGTACTTGGGGGAGTTTGCGGAGTTTTTAGTAACACTGAAAGCACACCTGCTCATGACCCAGCAACTCTGCTCCTAAACGTTTCAGGAAATACTTAGGTTTTATTTAGTATTCAGTACAGAGTATTTGTTTAGCATTTAGTGCTATTTTGTATTTAGCACC